TTATCAGTCCATTCTATTCAATATATACATATACCTGGACGCGCATATATTTTTCACAATAAACCGAATAAAGTAACTGTTATTATATTCTCAACATTGGGAAAATATTCCCGTATGAAAGAGATGAGAATATATAATAGAAAAAAATAGAAGCATATCTTCTTCTCTGTCAAGTTTTTCATACCTTTTTCAGAGATTTAATAAATATCGAAAATGTCTTTCAAACTTGTTTTGTTGTGGAAGAGCTTTTTTATTGTCGAAAAATGTGAATATTTTTAATATTTTACACGGAAGGGAAAATAATTTTCGTTTAAATAATTCTCTTATTTTTCGTGCTATTTCTGCTCGAATACAATTTGATATCAAAATAATGTTCTCTAAATTTGAGAGAACTAAGAGTCGATCAACTTCCATTTCTCATTTTCTACTTCTGACATCTCATTTTCTACTTTTTTCATTACCGCCATTTGCTTTTTTTCACTTTTGAAATTGACCGCCATTCGCAATAGATCACTGCGCAACTCAAGGTGGGCTTGAATCAACTTTAAATAAAAAGTCTTGCGAAATGGGATTTTTTTGGGGATTTCAATACTGGAGACCTCCCTGAGTATTTTGCAACAAAAATTAAAATAATCCATCGGGCCGTTTTTGAGAAAAGTAATTTTTAGTATTTCCATCGTGAACTCTGTATACAAGCACTTTAAAAAAATGTACAAAATCAAATTTAATTTCAATTTCATGAGTGTACAATAGTATTTTGGATCGCATAATCTGAATTTGATGTTGGATTTAAGACTTTCAAAATGGCGGATCCAATATGGCGACCAAAAAGTTTAAAAATTGTTTAGATCTACTTGGGCCTCAATACTTAAGGATTTTCGGGGTCACTAAATCTGAATTCAATGGTAGGTTTTGAAAATTAGAAATGGCGGATCCAATATGGCGACCAAAAAGTTTAAAAATTGTTTAGATCTAGTTGAAACTCAATACTTGGGGGTTTTTGGAGTCGCTAAATCTGAATACAATGTCAGTTTTTAAAAATTAGAAATGGTGGATCCAATATGGTAAACAAAATTTTTAAAATGGTATGTGGATTTAATGGTCTCCATTGTTGAAATATTTTTTAACCCTCGGGTGGGCAAGCTAAAAAAATTACGTAAGTTGATAAGCGGGGACCATTGGACTCCGCTTACCGCTTAAAAAAAAAGAAAACGCTTAAAAAACGTAGATCTTTGCATATTTTGTTTCCTTTTTATTATATTATGAATTTTAATGCATTAAATTTAAAATATAAAAATGATAATTAAGATTTTAAATTTAACGTTGTACTTTTAGTCTATTTAACAGAATTTCTAGGATGAACTCATTTTTTCATACGGATTCAGAGAAATTTGAAAAATAGATACTTGCATTGTCTAATGGACCCCGCTTTCCCGTCTAAGGATTAATCAAAGCAGTTTTAATTGATTAATTATTACAGTGCTATAATGTGTAAATAAGTGTTAATTTTAATTGATGATGTCATTATTTATATAATCTTATTTGTCTATTTCCTTTTTTAAAAAAAGTAATTCTTTCAAATACGGAAATTCGGATTCAGATTCAGCGATACCAAAAGCTTCGAAGCAAATCTGAACAATTTTTTAACTTTTTGGTCGCCATATTGGATCCGCCATTTCTAATTTTCAAAACCTACCATTAAAGTCAGATTTGGTGACCCCGAAAACGCTCAAGTATTGAGGCCCAAGTAGATCTAAACAATTTTTAAACTTTTTGGTCTCCATATTGGATCCGCCATTTTGAAAGTCTTAAATCCAAAATCAAATTCAGATTATGCGATCCAAAATACTATTGTACACTCATGAAATTGAAATTAAATTTGATTTTGTACCTTTTTTAAAAGTGCTTGTATACAGAGTTCACGATGGAAATACTAAAAATTACTTTTTTCAAAAACGGACCGATAAATTATTTTAATTTTTGTTGCAAAATACTCAGGGAAGTCTCCAGTGTTGGAATCCACAAAAAATCCCATTTCGCAAGACTTTTTATTTAAAGTTGGTTCAAGCCCACCGTGAACTATTTCTCCTACACGGCAATTCTCTCTTAAGTTAATCTCCCACCAAAATTAACTTATGGGAGATTCGACTGTACTTTGAATATTCAAATTTAATATTTTTATTTAAATCAATCAAAAAGTACATTTTTTATTCTCCTAAACAAATATTTTATTTTATAAAAATATGAACCCCCAAATAGGAACCCAAAATATTTTATTCTTAAAAGATGAGAAGTAATTTCCAAACCTCTTTTTCTGAATGTTTAAATAATATTTTCAATAATTATTTATCAAAATTTTGCAAAAGTCCGAGAAGAGTGCGTGTCAGGGTGCCTTCCTCTATATTTTCCAAAAAATCCGGACCCAAAATATTCTTTTCTTTCTAAATGAGAAGTTGACCATGAAACCACTTCTTCTCCCATCTGCCCTTAAAATAAAAAAAACTCTCCAAGCCTGAATTAGAAGAAAGTTACTAATGAAATGATGAAAAGTCATCCACCATAAATGATTTACTAATAATTTTACCCGCAATCAATGAAATTTTACTAATTGTTAGTAGATTTGGTTTATAAGAGTATCAAACAGTTTCACTAATTTATTTAATGAATTAGATGACTATCAATATAGAAATTAGATGTCTAATAATTAGTAAAATTTTGCTTTTTCTTAGTAGAATTGTACTAATTCAAATTTAGAGTTGAGTATAAATATATAACAATTTAGAACAATTTTAAATTTAAATCTTATAAATCTGAAGGAAGCAAACTGTTCATCAAATAAACAATTTTTTTTTATTTATGGTTTTGCGAAATTTTATTTTGTGATTGATAATTTGTATTGAATTTTTATGGCAGAGTGAGGAATGACTTTTTAGTTTTTACTACGTATAACAATTTATATTGATATAAATGATTGCAAATTCCATTGGGAAAAGTATTAATGGAATTTTATTAAATATTGTGAGCTGCGAAAACATATGTATATATATATATATATATATATCTAGAGTTTGAGAACATTGCCCGAATATTTCGACTATTTGAAGAACGTCTAGAATGAATAACTTAATTATCCAGAGGTTTAGAATCTAGTGTAGCAAATGTAGAGAGGAGAATGCAAATCCGTAGGGGTGCGAATCTAATAATTAAACGTAATCTACCACACGCCATACGTGCACTTACTGACTTTAGTGGGATAACTAAGAGAAACATCCGTAAGCACATACGAAACCTGGTATGCTACATAACAATTGAAACATCTCTAATTCTGTTGTGGATAATCAAAATAAATGACGGGTTGACCATTTTCATCAGATATGTGGAGAAATTAATGTGGTTTCGCTTTTCTAATGAATAATATATTTTACAAAATTCTTCTTCTTCTTCTTTATAATATCTGTAAAAAAACTGGAAATCATTAATAATCATTCTTAATGAACACATAACGTTAGATTAAAAAGTATGTCAATGATCATATTGTGTAGAGATGTAAAAATTATTAGAAATCAAGAAAAAATGCATCCAGTGTTTGCACGTATATACATATAGTTGATAAGATTGTAAATGGTCGATTGTGTCATCATCCCTCGGGTAATGAGTTAATTTACTCGAGACATCAACGCCTCGTTGACATATATTGAGAATTAGCAATACGTCGCAGTTGTCGGTCGCACAACGCGAATGGAAATAAAAAGAAGCACTTATCTAGTCGGTTTTATATGATTAGATTATCGAGCATAAAAAGCGAGAAAGTAAGGATATTTCTTCAACTTCTCACATTATATAGTTGAGCGAATAGAATGGATAATACAATTCCAATTACTTATTACACACACGTTGAATAGTTTGTAGTTTTATATATATGTAGGGAAGTTATGTACGAAGCAGGAAGAAATAATTAATATGGTACGGCATTTAAAATTTTTTTAAATATGACTTTACATTCGTGTTCAGCGACTTTAAATACATCTAAATATTAAGTTTAATACGAATTTGATCTATATTTTAAAAATATTCTGTCATGTCAAATTCACCATTTTTTATATTTTTAAAACTGAACTAGAATTTAAAAAAATGAATTTAATATGAATTTAAAAAAATTATTTAACACAATCACCATGTGGTACAGTAGGTTTCAAAAATGCCTTCCTAGTATAAACGTGTCGCACTCATATGTTCCCATGGAAACATATGAGTGCGACACGTTCAAACTAAAAAGGCATAATTGAAACCTACTGTACAAAAATCACTTCACATAAAATGCATTTATTATTAGAATTACTTAAAATAAAGTTCGTTTGACATAAAAATCATCAACCATAATTCCCGTTTAATGTAAACTTCATTATTTTGAGATGATATTATTTGTCATAAAGTTCACTTGACATAAAAATTTCGTCACGAATTTTAAAGTTTAAACAGAATTATTAGTTTAATGTATTATAGCTTATTTTCTTTAAAAAATGATTCTCTACAACGTCACCGTTCAGATTTTTAAACAAGCACACCGTTTTCAAAATATACACTGTAAAAAATTTAAGGAGTTAACGGACTCGGGAGTTGGGAGTGAAATTTTTCGAGTTAATAATCAACTCCAAAAGAGAGTTAATTTACTAACTCCCTTTATCAACACCCGCGTAGTCACCCGCGCGAGTTTTTAAACTCCCTTTTATTACAGTGTATTCTTATTTGTTAAAAAAATGTCCATTTTATGTCCAATTTTATGTCAAATGATTTTAGGTTACAATCATGCATCTCAAAGAGTTATACATGAATACGAGAACATAACTAAGACGTACTTTTTTCTACGAAATCAAATTATTTTCAATGTTATAATCGAACTAAAATAATATATAAATCAAATTAATACAATTTTTCGCAACAATTAACTATAATTTACTTCTTTCCAAATTTATATTTACAAAATAAGACATCAAACTTACCCCTTTTGGAGAACCAGTGCCCATATATATGCATGTACATTAGAGAGGGAGATTCTTCACCCCTTTCTGATCGACGCTCATTGTTGTTCACGAATAACAGGCTTAATCTCTGTACAATTTCCCAGCCCCTCTGATATATGTGTATGTGTATGAACTTTACACACGAATTACTGTGCGAAATATGTGCAAGCCTACTCGTCCAGAAAATTGCTGCTTATTTCATCCATCATCCATAGCATCATTGCAACCACAAATTCTATATGTACAGCTACAATTCAAAAAATGGAAAGTACAGAAATAATTTACGTTATATTACACATATCGTCGGCTTGGTGATAAACTGTTCTATTTCAGGAATTCGTTATAAACAGTATCATTTCGGTAGATGTTTTTAAAACATATACCGTTTTCGAAAAAATAAGTTTTTTGCTTTACATTTTTAAAAAGAGATTTATTACGAATACTCTTGTTCATCTTACTAATGTATTAATTCAAAATTTCTAATAATTTTAATTAATTGCTTGTTAACCATTAGAAATTCTTTAGTGCAACGCTTTTATAGATCTTCATCGAAATGGTATGTTTTATAACAAACTTTTGAAATGGTATTGTTTATAACGAATTCTTGAAATGGTTAGGTTATTTCAACCATATTTCCAACCATACCATACCATTACGAATCCAAAGATAGATTTTGAAAATTCAAAATTGCCTATGTAATATGGCGGACTAATTTTATGTAATATTAGATTTTCATGCAAATCAGTAACTATAAGCGTTTTTGGGGTTTATCTTGGAAAAAGTTCGATTTTTTGGGTCCTGTGTAATTTTTAAAAATCAAATAAATACATTATTAAAAAGTTTTTTTAATTGTTATGTATCTATAAAATTTATATGAGTGGATGGGAACAAGAACTCGACGAGCGCGTGGTTGTAAGGGATAATATCAGTCAGGTAGCAGTGAGCGCCTTTGGGCCACACACTGCTACCTGACTGAAACTATCCCTTTTGGTCGCGCGCTCGGCGATTTCTTCTTCCTATCCGCTCATACATATATTTTACTAAACCGTTTTGAATTTTCAAAATCTGAGGACAGATTTGTAATCAGCAACACTAAAAGCCCCTATATAGATACTGATTTGCATGAAAATCTAATAATTTTCAAAAGAAGAGTCCTCCCCATTGCATCCGACATTTTGGATTTTCAAAATCTGACATTGGATTCAGATTCGTGTTTAGCGTATCAAAGTTTGATTTTTTTGTTCCTAATTCAAAAGTATTGCTTTGCATTGGCGCTGACATGTTGTGAATCCTGTTATTTGACAATTACACATTGGAGGACAAAATGAATACTTTTTAATGCGATAGTTCACATTACTTCGAATGCTATTGAATGCGAATGTACCTATATAAAAAAACTCTCAAGAAACATAATATTTTCATCATAGTATGCAACTATTTTTTGAGTTGTAAAGTGAGAAAGAAATAAAAAAAATTATCAAATTTTCTAATTTTTGTCTCTTGACTTCAACTTTTTCAAAAATCTAGAAAAATTTAGATAAAATTTTTCTAAAAACACAGAAATCTTTGTTAGAATTTCAGCTTTAAAATAAGCCTTCGAAAATTAAAAAAGGTTAATCCGTCTTCGATTTATCATTAAAAGTGTGAAGCCGTGTTGCGGCCGATCAGTGCATTGAAATTCAACTGTGAAGATTCGATTCTAGCTTAGCGCGGCTGCGAATGGGAGAGAAAACAGGAACGAATTCATGCGCGGAAACGATGAACTTTTGAGTTTCTTTATATTACTCGTGAAACATCATTATTTATTATTCTCTAGCAAAAATTTGTCCCTGTTTTCTCTCTTTCGCTGCCGCGCGAAGCCAGAATCGAGTCGTCATAGTTGAATTTCAATGCAGCAATCGGTCGAAACACGGCTTCACATTTTTAATGATATATCGAAGACGGATTAACCTTTTTTAATTTTCGAAGGCTTATTTTAAAGCTAAAATTCTAACAAAGATTTCTGTGTTTTTAGAAAAAGTTTATCTAAATTTTTTTTAGATTTTTGAAAATGTTGAAGTCAAGAGACAAAAATAAGAAAATTGGATAATTTTTTTTATTTCTTTCTCACTCTACAACTCAAAAAATAGTTAACTAAATGACTTCAAAGACGGCTTATTTTACGCAAAATGTAATACCTAAGCTTTCTAACCGTATTTAAGTTGTTTTTGTATCTTTTTTTATCTAGGAGATATGATTGAAAAAGTGATGGCATGTTTTTTCATAGAATCGCATGTAGTGACAAGTCAAAGGGTTGATAAAATCGGTGAGCGCTCTGTAGTCTACGAAAATTGTCTAAAAAATAAAATTGAAGAAGTTTTGGTTAATATATGATAGCGAAATGAGAATAAACTTCTAATATTTATGAATTTTTATTATAAAAAAAGTTAGAGCACAATGAATGAAAAAATTTTTTTTCACTTTTTTATTTTTCTCGACGTTTTTGCAAAAAAAAATTTTTTATTATATTATTTAAATTAATTTTTTTTGTTTAAATTTTCTTCTGAATATGTTTCCTTACATGTAAAAAAATTTTAGTTAATAAAAATATATTATATTTTTAGAAAAAACCCTCGATTTGACCAGACTCCCCCCTAAATACGAATTAAACAGAAATTAACGTTTATTTGTAATACCTCTTGCTCGACATTAATACTTAAGGAAAAGATCGGTAAAACTTCCTTGACTTGCCTGAAATGTTGCTCTTTAGAAATGATATACATATTTAAGTACCCTGTAGTCAAATGAAAAACTGTCACATTAATAGTTGATTTTTTCAATTTATTTATACTTAATTAATATATACCCAAGTGCGAAATTAAAAACGGCCCAAAACTGGCCCAGTGACGGCATAGTCAGTGCCTACTCTTGGCAGACAATAGTGGCCCGACTGTCGGGAGGTTAACCGCCGTAGGCCGTCGGCAGCCAATTGTCGGCCGATTCTCGGTAAACATTAATGGCCCATTATTGGCTGCCATTACTCCCCAGTGTTGACAAAATTTAAAAAAAATATATTTGTTATTTACACGGAGAAAAATAAATAGTAATAATTATACTATTTTCGATGAAAAATTACTACTTTTAAGTAGTAATTTTGAAACTGCTCGAAAAATAGTAACTTTTGCTTCGTATTCAAACGATTTTTACTTTTTTGAAAAAGTATAATTTACTTCAAGGAATCTAAATTTTATTAAAAGCCGAGTAATATTTAAAATGTCCCGAGCAATTAATACTCTGAGCGAAGCAACTTTTATTACGAATCAGAGCAATTATTACTATTTCGGTAAAGATTTTTACTCGTAAAAGTAGTAATCAATCAATCTATTAAAAAATTATAATACCAAGTCGTGTTTAGTGTAGTGGTTAGCGTTCCGGGTTTCAAAGTGCGTATTCGTTGGGTTAAGGTGTTCGCATCCCCCCTGCGTCAAATATTTATTTCATAAATTTAAATTAATTCTAAGGTATATAAATACAAAGTCAAATATAAATATATTCAAATACAGTAATCAATTTATTTCTTTTAATGAGTTTTTCTCTTTTATTTGATAATAAGAATTTGATTAGCAATTTCAAATAATTATGATACACAGTGTAAATCTAATATTGTACTCCTAGTCAATTTGACTTTATTTTCCTAGTCACTTTGCAAGCTTATAACTCTTAAAAAAAATTGTTTTAATTTTGGAATAAACCGTTAATAAAGCGTAGTTTATCTGTGCAAATAAATATATGGTATTCCTAAATGGAAAAAATTTTGTTCCTAATTTTTAATCAAATATGTATAAAAATGTCCCTTAAAAATGATACTTTATAAAATGTATGTACTTTCACTAGTCCCTGTGATGTTATTAACAATGGAAAAAATTTACAAAACGTATAGCAGATTTGTTAATAATTAACCTTTATATAGAAGTTTAAAAAAACCTAAAATTATGTTAATTATCGTTGTAATGAGCATTTTAATGCTAATGTGCTATCTGGCTTTAGAATGAAGATACAGCTTTGCGACAAATTGTAAAATATCCAGTACAACATTCAAAAATATTTAAGCTAAAAAGTTGTTAATTAATAATTTTAATTCCTTTCGTAAAAACGAGGTGCGTAAGATCGACTAACTTTAAGTGTAGAATTTTTTCTTGATTGGCTCTTTTTCAAAATCCTTTACTTTGATTGGATATAATCGTGAAATTACTTACTGATGTCAAAGCAGCTAACTTCAAGTGTAGAACTTTTTCCTCATTGGCTGATTTTATAATGAGTGTTCCTCATTGGCTGAATGTTATAATAATGGTGACCTCACACTTTTATATTTTCTTTTTTAAAATTAAAAAAATAATTAATAAAAATTATTAACTAAAAGTTAACTAAAAGTAGTTTAATATAATAATTTTTATTTATGGTTTGGTTTCCTCATTGGCTGATTTTATAATGAGTGTTCCTCATTGGCTGAATTTTATAATGATGCCCACATAGCACCATATTTTGCGGGAAGCTAAAGGGAAACTAACCATGTTAGCTTCTATAGCTAACATGGTTAGCTTCCCGTTAGCTTCCCTTGGCCTATAAATGTTCTACGCTTTTTAGTTTTCCGTGTTAGCTTGCAGAAAGTTATCTAAGAAACTTTTCTGAAAACAAGTAGAGAAAAGTTCTTTAAAACTATCTCTGGTAAGTATCTGTAAGCATTAGAAGTTAGTTTCTAGTAAGCGTCATAAGGTAAGTAATATAATATAAATTGATATTATACAAATAATCCTTTACGGAATTTCCGTAATTATCTATTTAATTTGCACTTAAACTTATTTAATATTTCAGTTTACTTATAGCTAAAAAAATAGTATTTATAAATTTCATAAAAATATAAAATAAAAAATATTTCTCTCTATAATTTATTTATTGCCGCGAACTGATTACTTATTTATTCCTCAATATCAATATTATATTATTAAAGAATAATTTTGAAAATAAATTTGGAGGGACTGGGGGTAGAACCCGTGTTCACAACGCAGAAAGAAACAACCTAACCAACTAACCTAATCAACCATGTGTAGGGAAGAATATTTCGGGTCCTTAATCACATGTTATTTTTAGTACTTATCTTTAATATTTATAAAGTTTTTTCCAAATAATAATAACTAACTACCAAAATGTTGAAAAATCAATAATTAAGATTAAGAAAACAAATATAAATCAATATTAAATCACAATTAT